TAAAAAAAAAAAAGGGGGGGGGGCAGGGACTGTGGCATACCATCCCCCATTGGGGTGCTTTTTCCTCTTCCTCTACATACATACATGCCCTCCAGCAAAAAACTAAAACAAAAAACTGAGAAAGTATATGGAGCCAGCACGGTGGTTGAGGCAATTACATCCACAGGGTCAACGGCAAAATTGAAGTCCCAGACCCTGTGCCCTGAAAATCATACCAAGCAAGTGTGCAAGCCTAAAATCCTAAGAATGGAGGATGGCAAAGCAACCATCTCCTGAAGGGTGCTTTCTTACCCCCCCCCACCCTCTGTAAGAGTATTCACCTTAGAACAAACTAAGGAAAAACATCATCTGCAACTATACAGATGATGACCAAATTGAAGATGAATGGACTCTATTTTCAGAGATAGTGTAACAGCAGTTGGTGAACACAAATTAGTCAGAAAACTGAGTTCAGTTACTGAACTTACTAGGTATGCTTACGGAGGAAAGCTACTCAACCTCTTTGAGATCACATTGCTATACCTTAAAGGTTAAAGATTAAATAAATTAATTCATTTTAAGGACTTATTTCAACCCTTCTGTAAATACTTGTTATATACACACATGGAATCCCCACAAAGAGATGGATAAAAATGACTAAATACGACAGTATAAAAACAGCCAAGGCTGAGACCAGCAGTTAGTGTAATGGCTATGTTGCTGGACTCCCTCGTAGTCGACCGCGATTTGCGCCCCCGACCCGGTGGCTTAAAACTCATCCCGGGCGCATGTGTGTGCATGCCCAAGATCCTGAGAGGAGAATGAAGAATGGATTGCAGCGTGGCCATTCCCCCTGGGGAGTGATTTCTCGCTTTCTCTCTGTCTGTCTCTGTCTGGCGAGCGCATGTGCACTATAGCAAAAATCTCCTCCCCCCCCCCCAAAAAAACACACACACACACACACAAAAACGGTCAAGGCTTTCCCTTGTTTCATTATTACGTTTTCCTAGATCAGTGGTAATAAACTCAGATGCACATATATATGTCAGGCAGAAGGGGAAGCCAACAACAAGATAACTTAATGTGAAAGATGGTATTAAAAAAGAGAGAGAATGTATGGCCCATCTTAAGAGGGTGCTATGGATGTGGGATATAGTCTCTGAAAGCTAGCTACATTTGACAGACTATGAGAAACTAAATTGTTTCTGGTGTTATTGCCTGAAATCTAAGTTTGTACAGATGGTCTATGACTTACGAGTGTGCCACTTAATTTTTCAACTTTGTATAAAGGTGTGAAAGCAATAAGCATGCAGTCGAAATCATACTGTACTTTAAATAACCATACAACCATTCTGCTTTTCACTTTAAATTACATTGAAATCCTCACATTTATTGTAAAACAGGCATTGGTTAAATGACCTATCTGCCCAATACTAGGCTAAAGTGTTTTTTTTTTCCTTGATATTTTTGCTACAGGGTGCGTGCAAACACATGAGACAAAAAGTGAGAAATCACCCTCTAGGGAGGATAGTCACACCGCAATCCCTTCTCTTGAGACTTAGGTCGCGTGCACACACACACTTTTAAGCCACCAGGTTCAGGACTCCAACAGCAGTAGAAAACGTGAGTCCAGCAACGTAACCCTTCTACCACCTGCTGGTCCCTAAGTTTCACATTTAAGGTAGCAAGGCTAAGCTGCGACACTGAAGACAATGAGTAGATTAGGTGTCCTCTAAAGGCATAGTAAATGTACAGTATTTTCAACCTACAATGGCTTTATCAAGACATAACTTCCTCATGTAAATGGGGGAGCATTCATAATTAATTCCAATTGTTTTTAAGATACTGCTAGTCAGAACAAAACATCTGAGGAATTTTACCAGCAGGTCATCAGTTGGCCACCTCTGCGGTTGATACCCTTTGCTCCAAAACTCCTTGTTCAACTATAAATTTCAGAATAATTAGTTTAGGCATTTTAAGTACTATGGAGAATAGAGAAATAGTGCTATTCCAGTCTCACTAAAAGATACATGCCTCAATGAAAAATAAGTTATTATTAGGACCAGCAGTTGGTGTAATGGCTATGTCACTAGACTCCCAAGTAGTCAACTGCAGATTGAATCCTGGACCCAGTGGCTTAAACTCACACCGGGTGTGTGTGCGTATGTGCCCATCCCATGGGGGGGAGGAGAGGTGATTTCTCGCTCTCTTCCTGGCAAGCGTACCCACCCTATAGCAAAAACCTCTCCAAAAAAAGAAAAATAAGTTATTACTGATTTATGGCAATCTTTCATGAGTTTGGTGACTATAGATTAACCCTCAACAGCTAATAAAACAGCTGTTGAGGGAGGGTAATTAAAAAAACCTTTCTAGTCAAACAGTCCAATTACCTTTTGCAGACACAACACAAAGAAATAACTATCAGAATTCCTAGATTACACGGTCTAACAAAATAAAGCCAAAAACTTTATTAAACTCTACATGTACTTTCTTTTAAAAAGAATTATTTTGTTTAACTTTTATGTTAGTTTGACCAAAGAGGGACAGCGTGAGAGTGAGAAAGTGAGAAAGCAAGCCACCAGGTCCAGGATTGGAAACACTACTGGCCATGTGGGAGTCCAGCACCCTTAACTACCAGGCCACCTGCCGACCCCTAAAATTTCTACGTACTTCTTAATGAGTATCTTTTTATCCAACAAAATCATCATTTTTAAACAAGTTCCAATAAGGCAGTAAGGCAATCATCCCAGGTGTTAACTTAGGCTGGAATGAACATTTATAAGTTCTAAGTCATTTCTCCTGAACACTGCATCTCCCCTTTATTCAGAAAAAGCCAAGTCTCTCTCTCCTCCCACTCAGTGGGACAAAACTTTATTTTGTTAGACCATGTAATCTAGGAAACCCAAGTGCCTCTGGCTCAAGTTTGATATTTGTTCTGCTACATGAACTACATATAGAATCAACTACCACCTTCCAAACTATATTTAAGACATACGTCTTCCTTAGTTAAGGAAAACCTCCCCTGTATTTAACTGGAGTCAGATTTTCCGCTATATTAACAAATGAGCATCAAAATCATTAAAACAATTAAAAAAAAAAAAAAAGTAAAGCACATTTTAACACCAGCTAATCTGACAAAATAGTGGAGGTCAGTAAAGTCCAAAAAGATCATCAAAAGTCAACTTGCTTGCTCTAAAGGATGACCAACTGAATTGATCCCAAAATCTTATGCAGCTAGCAAATGAATAGTCTCATGAAGTAACTTGTTAAAGAGAACTAGTCTTGGAACCAGCAGTTAGCGTAATGGCTATGTCGCTGGACTCCCACGTAGTCGACCGCGGTTCGTGTCCCAGACCCGGTGGCTTAAAACTCACGCCGCCGCGCGCGTGCCCAAGATCCCGAGAGGAGAATGGAGAAGAGAATGGAGAAGGGATTGCGGCGTGACCATCCCCCCTGGGGGGTGATTTCTTGCTTTCTGTCTCTATGTCTCTGTCTGTCTGGCGAGCGCACGCGCCCTACAGTGAAAATCTCTCAAAAAAAAAAAAAAAAGAACTAGTCTTCTCCCTTGTGTAAAGATGGATCCATCAGCTGAAAACATTGCAAACTACGGTCCCTTCATATGTGCAATGGCAGAATTTTGAAGGTATAGTCCATAGACCACTACCACCAGGCATTCCAGTTAAAAATGGAATCCAAGGCCTAAAAAAATCCAAAACCTGGAAGGACTACTCAGAAATTAGCATTTTATTCAACCTTCCCAGAGGAGCCACATTTAAATTTGAAAACCACTTGTTTAAGGATTGTCAGTGAGGAGAATCAGAATAAGATGGAAATACAGTAACTGATAAATTCAGAGAGACTAGTTAAGAGTCTGTACCAAATGTATTTAAGCATCCACTCCCTTCCTCACAAGTAAACCATTATCAAAAAATTGATGAAAAATGTAGGTCTGGCCTGTCAGGAAGGCAGACTATGTAAGACAGACAGAAAACCCAAGGGATTCTAGAAGAAATAAAATTCTTTTTACTTATTTGTAAATGTTCTTTTAAATGTCTACTTTCTAATGTCTTCTAAAGTAAGAAGGTAAGAAAGAAAATGCTGAGATGGTGCTCTAAGTATCATACCTGAGAGGCCAACACTGCTACTGGCCTAAGTGGGGCTGCACAACCCTGTAACTGTACTACAGCCTTGGCAGCCATCTTGAAAATGATGCCCTTCTCACAGGGGAAACCATAGACTGTAGTAAACTGCATGTTACCACCACTATCACTACAAATTCCAAGCATAAATCCCAACCATGTATACCTCTGCCTTCGAATAAGAGAAGGTTAAGTTATCAGGAACCAAGGTCACTCAAACACATTACAGCTAGGGCTTGAATAAAAACAACCTCAATCAGTATGATTTTAGATCAAGAAAGTAGGAGAAATAAATACTGAGGGAGGAAAATGATCACCTCCTTTGGGATGTATTATTTACTCTAGAGCAAATAAAAAGATCTTTCTTTAGTCAAAGAAGTTCTATGAATGTTATCAGCAGTACTGAAAGGACAACATATTTGAAACATTAAAATAAATGCAACATAATCTTTAAGATGACAAAAACCTCACATATTTGACAGGTCAAATCACATTAACCCCAAAACGTTAACAAGGTGTAAGTAATTGTGATGTTCTAATTAACGTTTTCAAGGTATAAAAAGATGACAAGGATAAATGAACTGGGCCCTAGTTTCTCCAGGTTGCCATAAGCATTAAGGTATGGTCCGTTCTCCTCACTGGTCTTTTTAAAAATGCTTTGTACCTGTACAACGCCTTTGAAGTTACCTTCAAATTAATATTTAGCTGCATAAAACCTCTAGATCCGCTAATCCCTCACCAAGGAAAACAAGAATCACACTAACACAAGAGATACACCCGCCCTAGTACCTGCATAAGCTTAAGACACTCCCAAACCTGCAGAGCCTACAGAGCAGGAGCACACATGCGAGAGGATGGAGGATGCAGAAACCGGCATCTCACCTGTTGATGAAACCATATCCATTTCTTACATTGAACCATTTTACTGTTCCCAAAACCTTCGTTGCTGGAAAACAAAACAAAGCAAAACAACCCGCGATTACCAGACATCCTATTTAAAACAGCCGGGCTTCAGCATCCGGTCCCCTGCATGATCTGGCGCCGGGCAGAGGCCACCTGACAGCCTTTTCTGTCCGGTGTCGGTCTGCAGCGCCGGACTGGGGCCTCGACGTCGCCTTCGCCACCCACGTGGGTGACTTCGAAGCGGCAGGGCGCCCCAGGACAGGACAGGCCCGGGGCGCGGGCCTAAGATGGGTGTGTGCGCAGGCCGCGGGCGCAGAGCACGTGAGGGAAGGGGAAGCCGCCCCGGCCCACTCCGGCCTGCGTAGGCGGTGCGCCGCGCCCTCAGGGCACACGCGGAAGGGAGCTGGGTGGGGGAGCCGGGAACAACGGCGTGCGGGCCCGGCGCACGAGGCCGGCGGGCGGGAGGGGACC